CGATACAAGCCGAATGACCATGTATGACGCTGGGCTCGTCGTGAGGAAGCGGCGCAACAAATCCCTCCCCCTATCAGCTGGCCACGGATCGTCCCCTCGGTCGAAATCTCCAGCAACTAATTCCTAGCCAGGTCTTGACGAGACGTGTGTCACTGGGTCGCGCTCTGGTCTTTTCGACCTTAACAAGCACCCACTCCTCAAAGAATAAAGACTGCAACATAATAACCAGCCTCAATTTCTCCCAGACCCAAACGTTCCGTACTCTCCCCCTACTCACCGTGGCCACCGCTGCCCGAACCAACCGACGTCTCTCCCGCCTGCGAGCCGAGGCGTTGGCGATCAAGCACGAGGCGACAATCCGTGACGCCACCGACACCTTCACAAGACGGCGCTGCAGCAGGGAGCGCTTGAGCTCTGCCCGTTTTGCGGCTGCCTTGGCCCTTTCTCTACGGATCATGGCGACGCGTCTTCTAGCTAGGTATCCCCGGGTGACGGCGGCGCAGAGAATATTGCCGGTGGTGGTGGCCTCCTTCCCCGCGGAACTTTGAGGGACCCCCAGTTGCCGCCACCTGTCAAAAGATGGATGTACACGTTCATACACCCGAAGTAAGGTAGGTAACCCACAGGGAGTACGTCTAGGTGGTCGGGTTTCGTCACTTTGATTCACTCTCTTCGAGTCTGTTCCGGTAGCCGGAACCTGAGCCCGACCGGGAAGGCGAAGAAGGAAAATATTGGGTCGACCTAGCAACGTCATCTAGCAGCAATGTAACCGTCAAATATCAAATTGCCATCATGAAGGTCCATCCACCCAAGACTACCAATCAGTCGACCATTGTATCCACCGGGTATCAAACCTGCCGGCCGCGAAAGAGCACACCAGAAGAAGTCAAAGCAGATAAAGCAATCTGGTTTCTGCTTACTTCTGCCATGCCCGAAGCTTGGCACTCGTGTCGACCCTCTTCACAATCTTGGTCGTCTTTTCCAACCCCCTCCTCTGCACCTCTCCCAGATGCCCAATGTCTTTCAGGTAGCTCAGTGGCAATGTTTTTGCGGTCATCCCCATTCCCCGCTCGAGCGCGCGCCTGATTTTCCATTCCTTCTTCGTCTCGCCCAATCGCTCGTCGGCTAATCGCCGGCTGTCTTCGTCGACCAGTCGCCCCACGGCGACAGTGTCCTCTGCCCACGTCCCTAACCCCGCTGCGAGCTGGACGGTGGTGGGCTCGACAGGAGAAACTGCGTAGATATCCTCGAAAGTTCCTCCCCCGCCGAGGACGACGTCACGCGACGGCGGCTGTGACAGCGACTGCGCAGGTGGGGTGGCACAGGCGTGCGCGGACACAGATGCGGCAGCAGGTGTGGGAGCGGGAAAAGACCCAAGTTGTGCCGATGCCCCTGTTGGTAGTAATGCTGTGCCTTCTTCTGGTGCGCCTGGTGTTGCTGTTCCTGTTTCTGCTTCTCGATAACTTGTCATCAACGTTGACCCTGGCTCCTTTGTTGTGCCACCATCAGCTGCTGTTGCTGCTGCTTCATCAGCAGCTGTTGTTTCTTCTTCTTCTGCATATTTCGGTCCGGTCGTTTGCTCACTTGGCAATAACACTGCCTCGACACCAGTCGCATTATCTCTCGAACTGTGGGAGGCCTTGGAGGCAACGACATCATTTGTCCCCAAGAACTGTGTTGTCCATGGCTTGCGTGCCAGCACCCCCCTTCGTGTAGGCGATGCCCGTACCCCGGTTGGAACAGCAGGGGTTCTTCCAACTTGGCCCAGCCTGGCGTATTGATTCCCATTGGGGACAGCCCCGAGGTGCGTTTCGTGCCCCTTCTCCGCGACACCCGCCGCTCCTGGTGACAAGAATGATGACGGTGGCTGGTCGTTTGTAGGCTTCCCCGTTGCCAATTCTGTGTTGAAATGACTGCGACGCCCGCGGTGGCTGCTGCTGTTCTCCGCCCGTTGTCGGAGGGTGGCGTACGCGTTGTGGACGTCGCCCTCTGTTACCTGCGCAATTAATTTTCTGCCGTCATCCGCCCCGTTAACGACATCCTCTTCAGCAATGTTGTCTGCGACGGTACGCGGTGGAACAGATCCCAAACACCGCAACGAATCGTTGTCTTCATGTCCCTGCCGCGGCACACCACTACTGTCAGTACGTCTCCCGTTCTTGGTATTTGGGCTCTGAACCTCGCTGCTGGGAGCTAGCGACGACACCAGCACCTCGGAGGTATCCCCGTGGGATATAGCATTCAAGTTTACGTTTCTTTTTCTGCCTATTGTGGCCGGTGCCCATGGTGCTGCTGGCTTCGAGATTGGGGGATGTGGTGCCAGAGTCGTCAGACCTCCGTTGGAAGGTGCGACTCCTCGTTGTCCCCCAGACCCTGCTGCATGACCAGTGTTCTGCCCATGCTGCTCGCGCCGCCGGCACCGAGGTTTGCGTTGGCGTGCTCGAGACGTGGCCCCTTTTTCCTCGTCACCGCTGGGAGAACACGGGATCACGCGAGACGTCCTGACACACGCGGATGTAACGGCGCGAACCCAACAGTGACCAAAAACGATGCTTGTAAAAAGTCCTCGACTACAGGAGCAGTGGAAAACTCACGCGATCCGACGTACTTACTTCGATCAATCTTTTGGTGCAGATTGGTCGGGTAGGACAGACGGAATGCTCAATTCTCGACTTTTCTTTTGGGGAATATTGAAGGCTGACAGCGTATGGCAGCCTCAACCCCCATTTGTACCTGCGCGTAGAAATGTTCGAGAAATGTTCGAACAAAACAACCTGTCTAGGGTACTCCTGGAACTGTTTTCCGGTAAGGTTGGGTCACGTTGTGGCCGATCAAACGTGAACACAGCTGCTGCCAAACAACTACAGGTAGTGCTACGTACAATGTATGTTCTGATACCGTTTCCGTCGAACTCGACACTGTCATGAAAAGGAAAACGTTCCACCGCCGAATAGTTCACCGCCTCACATACGCTGTCATCCCTTTACCATCTCGAACAACCATCAAAGGCGGTACCCAATATTGCCATCAAAATCTGCGCGTATCGCTTTGGTGGGTGTCTGAGGAGGGACGAGTGAATTTAACGAAGATCCCGACACCACATCCGTGGACACTTGCAGTGCAGTCCATGGCTGCAGCCAGTTTTTCGAACGTATGCGTGTGATACTCTTAAAGATGAAGGAGCGTGAGTTCATTCATTGGACTTCTTGATGTGATACAGAAACAACAGACCTTGTCGAAGCAAAGAGCCCCTGATAACGACGTGACTTGCTGGGTTCACGGACACCGCTTACATTCTAGCCTGTCTACATGTACGAGCAGTACAACGAAGGACCGGTCAGTCATGCAACGAACGGTGTTGATGCGTATCCTTGTATTCTGGAGCTCTGAAAGTACAGCAGGATCATGAGTCACATAAGCAAGGTGTGCGGGTGTCAACTTTGCAGAGAGTATCCATGTAGAGCACCCGCCAATGCTCACTGCGACACCGCCTACAAACTCGTGTCAGCCTGTGCGGTTTCCCTTTGAGCCACACACACCTTTGTCTGCCCCCAAAGGACGGAACCCTTCCGAGGAGTGTCAGCATACTCATTGAACTCTTCTGCTGCAGCCTCATCGACCTCGGCACGACATTTTCCAAATCGTGCAGTGCTTCGCCGAGTGCATCAGAATAGTCAACCTCCAGCCCTTTCCCCTGCTCAGCCTCGCGCATTAATCGCACCAGGTTTGTGGTGCTGCCAGTTGTACCGCCGACCCCACGGCCATGGGCGTTGTCGGAGTGCCTCACAATATCAGTTGGCACATCAGAGGCCATAAGTAGCTATGTCTGCGTAGACCCACGTACTACTTGCGGAACCCAGGCCGATCCACACATCAGAGACGTTGATGTTCCCTTGTGCCTCATCCCGGGGGGGGCGAACGCGGCGGAATCACTGTACTACCGGCGTTTCGCCCGAAACGCAAACAAAACCAAAGCGCGGCACAATGTTCCCTCCGCCGCACAAGGCACGAGACCATTAGAGATGCTCTACACCCATTCCTGCAAGCCCCGCTTCCGTAATGAACAGTAGACTTGTACAGAGCGGTAGATGAACCACCCTTCGTGATGGGGAATGTCTTTCAAGCATCATACATCGACGTGCACGAGGCGGCCCAATCTGGACATATCGACGAAGTCAGGTGAAATGCTATGAATTTTTTTGCACGATGCACCGGCACGCTACAACTTCCGAGGCCCTTTGTACCGGTGGGAGTAGCTGTCTTGGACGATAGGTGTAGCGAGACGTCGATATGCGTGGTGATGGGTCACCCTTCTTTGATTTCCAAAAAAGCGTAGTCTACACGATGTGTCTGTAGGTGCGGGTGAACATTAAGAGCGTTCGGTCGTCGGGAAGAAGTAAAATATGCATGCAACCCTACGGGGGGCAGTTGGCTTGAGACCACGGAAGGCGTCCGCGTCATTTGGACCAGTACGGACATTTAGGAGTTACTGAGTGGAGACTGGAACGGGTTTTTAATGTGAAGACAACAACAACAACAACAACAACAACAACAACAACAACAATGGAGACAACCCTCGACATGCCGACCTACAGATGCAAAGTAATGCTATTCATGTGGGCTACAAGTCGACCGTATGGATGAATTACTCCGGCCGCCACCGAGTCTTTTGTGTAGGACACTCCACTCAAACACCATTATCCAGTCTCCGACAGGTGTCCCTGAGTCTTCTGCGTGAAGTCCTCGATCAACCGATCCCAAGATGTGTCTTGGTTGGACATTCCTTTTTTTGTAGTTGCTCTACCACTATCTAGTTCGTTGCTGTGTCTATGTAGACTTCTGGAATCTAGAGACGAGAGGCTCATCGGGGATATTCGTAGCGAAAAAAGGAAACGCCGGAACTCGCTGTATTTGGTAGATTGCCACCAGCTGCGTCTTGTGAGTGGTGCGATGCATGTCGAGTGCTCAAGCGTTCCGTCCCAACACCCCGCTACTCTACGATGGCGAAAAGGACGGGCGAGGTGAGCTCAATGTGCACGAAGATTCGGCATGCGCGGCATTCTTTGCAACATGCTTCTGTAGGCAGCCGACCGTGGATCACGCGGCCCCTCAAAAGCATCCATCAATGGACTCGACTGAGTCGTGCTTTGTAGATGCCATGTGGCGATTTCACACGGACGCACAGCAGTACACTACATATCCCAACTTTCGCATGCTTTGCAGGCGATGGGTCGACGAAGGAAAACCGGTGGACGCGAGAGACAACACGCAAAAGACCCCCCTCCACCATGCCGCCCAGTGGGGGCAGGAGGAAGCGCTAGACTTCCTCATAGAATGCGGCGCAGACGTCAATGCCGCCGACTTCATCTCGGACACTCCGCTGCACTTGGTAAGCAAATGGGAAACGCAGGCGCGCTCGGTCAAGTAGCATTTGTTGCACTCGGTGTCGATTTTCAGGTGGCCTTCTCGTTTGTTTGCCCAGGCGCGGTACGACGACGGTATTTGTAGACGATGTGGAACTGCCTACAATATATTCGTGTGCAGAGGTCTGCATGAAGTCCGGCATAGGTTGGCCGTCGTAGAGACGTCCCGCATGACAACTGGATACCAGGCAGCAGTAGCGCTTGCCGAAGTCAATCGTCTCGTCACCTCGAAAGTGTTTTTCCTTCGCAGGCGTGCTACTTCGGCCACGCGAACTGCGTGCGTATCTTGATCATGGTGGGCGCGAACATCGCCGCCAACGATTGTTACGGCAACACGCCATCTCAGATTTTCGACGACCAAGTGACGGAGCCGGTGTTGGACGAGGTGCGCCGACAAACAATTCAAACACTCTGGCATGGATCTGGTAGTGTAATGGTGTTGTCGCGTGGGTACTGCTGTACAGCAGAGTGACGTCATCGGTGGTGAATGTGACTTGACCTCCTTGCGCGGTCCAACGCAGTTAAACGCTCTCGATGTACAGCCTGTTCGGAGCTGCCACCACGATAACCGCAGTGTTGTGCGCCAAACGGAGACATGCGGCTATTTCCCTGCGTGGCAGGAAACCAATTCTGAGTTTAAGCTTGTTCGCCTCGGTGTCAGCATGGATCCACTCTGACGCACACGTCAACACCGAAAAAACAGGACACACCTTCCTCGTACGATTGCGACATTCGGCTAGCGTGTTTTTCAACACTGTACGACAGGGGATAAGGCTCCTTCACGACAAAGGTGCCACAACTTTTGACATTGATTGCTTGATGCAGATCCGCTTCATTGTGCGAGAGGTGATGAAAGGCCCGCCGTTGCTGCCGGAGCCTGGTCCAGACTTGGCTCGCCCGTCCTCAGATGCCAAGCAACACCCGGTTGGCAATCATCGTCGCCAAAGCAGCTGCTCAACCGCGGCTGCATCGCGCCCATCTCAAGCGCGAAAAGATAGCGGCACTGGTCAGCGGCCAGTCGAAGGCGGAAGATTTTTTTCGGAACACGGAGCTACCGTGGAAGGGGCGACCCCACGAGTGAAAGCAGTGCCCTACACCCCGGGCGGGGGGATACCGCCAAGCGCATCGTCTACTGCGCTTAAGGCAGGGTTTGGGTTGGACAGAAAGAGTGACGTGAAAAGCAGTCCTGTAGGAAACGGTCAGGGTGCGAGCAGCACGCCGTTGTTAGGGTGTTCAGGTGTGGAGCAGCTGGAGCAGCAAAAAGGAAGGGTTGGAGGAGATGACAGGGCGGGGGAACCAAGGGGTGATGGGCAAAAAGCGGGCGTCATCGCCGTGGAGGGGGCAGCGGTGCCTTCGCCGCTAGATGGGCCTTCGCGGCCCGGAGGCCTTGCGCCACGCCCAAGGCTTAAGCTTCCTTGGGAAGACGAAGCGAGCCCCGAGCCAGCGAGAACAGAGGGGAGCGAAAGATCTCCAGAGGGAGCCGCTGCGGACGCTTTTGGCGATGAGAATGCCAGCGCGCGAATGGAAGGAAAAAAGGATACAGCGGCGACGGGGCTGACTTACCCAGGACCCCGCCCCCTGTCGGCCCCTTCGATGCGCCCCATGATTAGCGCAAGCAGGCTTAACGCTACGATTCCGATTCTCTCCGGGAGAAGCTACCAGGGGCAAAACGTCGTCGGGGGCAAGGGCGAAGGCGGGGGCGGCACTCTTGGTGCGAGCGGGAACTTGGGTCGCACGGGGGCTACTACCTTGGCGGGAAGGCTGGTGACGTACGCGACGAGACCCGGCGGGTCTTTGGACATTTTCGCAGCTGCGAGAGACGGCCAGGTGGGTGGGGGTATGAACCTCGTGGCCGGGAATACATACACAGAGCGAATGATTGGGTGCGAATAAGAAGGGACAACGTAACAACCATGATTTTTCAGTAGACGGAATGCATTCACAGAGCGAATGATTGGGCGCGAATAAGAAGGGACAACGTAACCACCATGATTTTTCAGTGGACAGAATGCATTCACAGAGCGAATGATTGGGTGAGACTACGGGGGGACAGCTTCAGCATACTGTGCTGCCCTCATCGTAGGACAAGCCTGCAGACACGCCACAAACATGAACAACACGCCTCCGACCATCCACCTGCTGCTTCGCACCCTCTTTGAAGACAAATTAATAGCCAAGGCCTACCTTTCATCCCAACGGTATTGCTCGTCGCCAGGTTAGCGTCTTGAAGCAAGCGCTGACGGATGGCGAGGAGGTGGACGCCCAGGACGAGAACGGCCTGACCGCGCTCATGTGGGCGGCTCGGGCCGGAAGACTCTCCACCGCCAAGTACCTCGTGTCTCAGGGGGCAAGCCTCACGCGGAGGGACGACGCCACGGGGTTTTCGCCTTTGCACTTCGCGGCGTACTACTGCAGGCATGGTTCGAGCCACACGATTCACGTGGAGATTTTGCGGAGTCACGGAACATCAGGATTGCCTCTCGCAGCGGTAGATCTATGAAATCCTCGATATCATCTAGAGATTTTTGTGCGTCTCTGGCCATGACCAAATCCTAGGAGGTGTGTTTCTACGCACGAGAACCCAACCTGCTCTCAGATTTACGGAGGAGAGCATGGCACCCCGATACTCATGACACAATTATTTCTCTTGCCTCTTCCTCATCCCCTTTCCTTTCCGACCTCCACCCTGTTCCTTGTCTGGTCGCCGGGGCTGGGACAGGAGTTCCGTGGTGCGTGTCCTAGTGCTTGCCGGGGCGGATACTCAAGCAACGGATGACGCCGGGAAAGTGCCGGGGGAGCGGTTCCAGGCGGTATCCTACCTGAGGTGAAATGCACGATACAAGAGAACAGCGGTCACCGACGCGATCGTACCCTGTGTCCGCTTTTCCCTCTGCCTACATTTTGGATTGTCTGGTCTGGTGCAGTAGCGGTGTTGACGCATCCTTGATCTTTTTCGCCTTGACGCCTTCTTTCAACACTGTCAGCTACAAGGCATTTCATCATCGACGGTTGATCGGGCGTTTTCTGACGGGAAACATGAAGGACGGTATGGACGACAAGGGCAAGACTATGTTCCCCAAGAACTGTAAGTACCGAAATGAACACCGCGTACGGGGTTGATTGCCCGCAGAAAGCGCCGGTTTTGTACATTATCAGGCGTCAACAAACTCCCCGATTGTACCACATCTGCACCACTAGGCTGGCTCAAGCACTGTACGAGCTAATACCGCTGCACTCCGCGTCAGCCGTGAGTCTGTTGCGTGTCGACGTCGACAACCCCCTTCGCACGGCTGTCAACAGTAAATAGGTGGAAACCATACGGTTGAAATACATGACAACGGTTGGTTCTCAAAAAATATTCCCCCGTTTCGCGATCAGCCGAACGGATGGCGCGCACCACGACGTCTAACCCGCCACATTTCGGCCTGCTTCTACATACGCATGTCTCACGTACCCCCATTGGCACGGCACCTGGTTCATCGAAACCGCACACTCCACTCTGCTGGAACTGACCGTAAACCCCCAACGACTACATGAGACCAATCCTGATGCCCCACCAGCACCTCTTCTCTCGCCGCTCTCGGCCCTCCGCTGATCAACCGCAACCGTGTCGCCCCTATGCCTAGCTCCGCTCGAGGCCTACGACGAGGAGCACCGGCCGCAGTGCGTGCGACTAGGGAGTAGCGAAAACCTGGCTATTTCAGAGTAAGTCAGTGCGTACGCAAGAGTGGTTTCGTGCGCTGTACCCGCCTTTATTGTTTTCTTTCGAATTGCCTTGATGAATATTTCTGTGGCGTACGGAGGGAGGCTTCCCCCGTACCACACGTTCCGCACGGCACAAAGCCTCTGCGGTATCCTTACGTGTCTCTGCTACTAAAACATAAAATATCCCTCCGGATACTACCAGACGGGACGAAACTGTTGCACGGTAGCAGTCTCGGACGATTGAGCCTCCCAATGGTACGCACTACCATTCAGAAAACACCCCAATGCTACGCCATACTTCTACGTGGCAAACGGTTGCACCAGCTCCGAGTCACAGAAATAGTTAGAGGCCCCTGCTAAGTGAGTCCTCACTCGTAACATCTCCTATCCCCTACCTTCGAAAGAAAAGGGGTGGGTGGGCGGGAGAAAAGCTACGAATTTCTGCTAGCTAGGTCCAAATTTCGATGTAGCTAGCTGCTGCCCTCCTTCCCGCGTGACCCTCCGACACGGGTTGCGTACTGTTCATTCCTCAAAACGTGGCCCTTGGTCCAGTTGACACGCGTCTATCAACTCTTGCTGCAGTAGCAGCGAGGCAGCAGAATGAGAACTCCGTGAGACCTTTCTCTTTGTAAGACCCCAGAAAACCAAACCGAGACAACCCAACCAACACGCCCCCAGGGCGGCACAAAAATAACCCAAATACAAACGTAGATCTGGGAGGTGTTCCGAATTTTTCCGTGCACAATAAATTTCAGTTTGTTCGGTCTTCGAGAACAAACTTTCATTTTTTCTGCCTTGTCGACCGTAGAAAATTCCATCATGTCAAAGGCTGCACTCGCTCACGCAGCGGCTGGGCGAAGGGACTGGTGATTGGGCTTTTCGAGACATGTTGAAACGCGGATGGGGTCAGGAAACCGCACTAACGGGGATCAGAAACTCCTACTGTCTGATGTGCGGTATGCATTGCACACTCGGAACAAGTGAAGCAGTGAAAACAAGTGTGATGAGAAATACAAGGCCATCCGCACTGTATCCCGTATGCCGTTCAAATAACCCCCCTACTCAATTTTTGCCGTGGGACGCTTATCCTCGGCTCATCCCTCGCATTCCACAGCTTTATCGCTTTTGTCAACCCCACGTTGTGCTTCTCTGTCTCTGCCATTCGCCACTGCCCTCACGGACGTGGTCTGTGCGCAATTTTTGATATTCTAGCATAATTTATGATGACACAACTAGACAATCGACCCCTCGGGGCTCGCTGTCGCGCGTTGAGCAAACGAAAGGCGCTGAACGCAGTTTTCGAGCCCGAATTGCTCATGCTGGCGGTAGCGTTTGCTGACAGTGTTGCTTCGTTCGGAAAAAAATGATGCCTGTCGTGCGTTCTTCACGGCTGTCGGCATACCTAATTGCGCGACTGCTCGAGCAGCCAAGGCTCGACCGAAGAAGACGAGCGACCGTCGAAACACGGCAGCAACCACTTGAGCAGTGTCTCCCGCTCTCGCTCGCGGAGCCGCCCCGATCCCTCGACGAGCAGCCGCCGAGCCTCGGCGGACATAGCGCGTAGGGCCTACGCAACGATGCAAACGATGCACAGCGGGGTCGACGATGGATCGGTGGACAGGGAAAGGGGCAAATTGGAGGTCTCGAGGGGCGGTGGTGCCGGGGACAGCAATCCCGCTGGGGGCGTCCGCTACTACCTGAGGAGAGGGTCGCTCCAACAAGCAGTCGACAAGACTCGAAAGATGATGAGCAACAGACAAGAAGGTACCGCCGGCGACAGCAACGACATTCGCTCCAAGAGGGCGAGCACCTCGAACCGCAGCCGCTCTTCCTCGCGACCGGTGTCGGGCGGTGGGGGGAGCGGGAGACAGAGCGGCGTCAGCTTCTACCTCCGCAGAGCATCTCTGCAGGACGTACCGTTTCTCGATGGATTTCTCTCCGGCAAGAACCAAGATAGTGGCGCGGCGGCGGCGGCAGCGGGTGCGGATTCGGCACAGAGGAAAGGGTCGAGCAGCTTCCGGTCAAGCCACGACGCCGGAACCGACAACGGGGCCGGCAACGGCGATGATAAGTCCTCGACCACCGTCGAGGGTGCTGCTGCCACCGCCGCCGCCGCAGCCGCTGCTGGGGTCATCGCTGCTGGTGCCGCTACCAAGGCCGCGTGTTCAGGGGGAAGCAGCGAACGCGAGAATGTCGACGACGAAATGGAAGTCGGCGGGGGCAGGGGTTTTCGAAGAAATCGGGGTAGCGTGAGCAGTGGCAGCGAACCAGACCGAAGAGAACGAGGCGGAGGAGGAGGAGGAGGAGGGGAGGGGGAGCAGAAACAAGGAGTGAGGAGACTATCAGCAAGGATTATCGAGGGTATCCAGGGTGGGGCGAAGGAACTTGCTGGTCAACTCAAGGTGACCCTACAGCGTTCATAAACTTACTAAATGATATCAACTCCAAATGCAGGCTTTATCCACAGTAGGGTTCCATGCTGTTCTTGAGCTGTTGAGTGTTGCCCGTCAAGGCAATATCGCCTCAAGTGCTCGTACGAAACGAACCCCTCGCTTGGCGGTACATAACCCGGTTGGCTCTCCGCAAATAGGAGTCGCTGCGAGGTGTGGAGCCTTTGGCGCTCTCCACCGCCGCGCGCCTCACACCTGATTATACCGCCAAGTAGTGTCCAGGGGTGGATGTGTACTCCCTCGCATGACGCACCCCGCACCCCTCGGTGGCGAACCCGTAAACAGTAGGGAAATGTTGTAGACGTTTTCTCCGAGGGCAGAACGATGCCTTCGTTTCGAACGAGTCACGAACAATAGTCACGGTGTTTTATGACTGCTGCAAGCTTCACCGAGGCTAGAAGGATGCCTTCGTTTCGAACGAATCACGTGGTCGTGGTGTTTATGACTACTGTAGGCGGCAACAACAACCCCCGTCTTTCCACGAATTTTGTTGCGTCTTGTCAGGGCGATCGTGTTCCGAGCGGCGATGGTGGCTCGGTCTACAAGGACCCGGACGTCGAGTCGGGCACAAGGTGCGAAAGAGTGCTGTCGAATGCCTAGTGAGGGCAGCGCGAGCAAGGTTCGCATTATTTTTCAAAGCCTAGGCCAAAAACATTATCTTGCACGAAACACACAGTTTTTCGCCGTCAATACGCTTTCCGTATCGCGTGTCGTGTTTGTAGCAGTTGTCATCCGCGATCAACAGCAACCGCAGCCATCCATGAGACGAGGCTGCTCTCTAGAGTGCCAATTTTCCCTTTTTTTGTACCCCCCGCTCTCCATCTCCATGGCCACGTCGAATCGCGTCCCACGTGTATGTTGGGCTCAGGGCGCTACAACCGCACGACCCCAGAGGTGAAATTGAGCCACCCGTGTCCCTCTCTGGTGTGGAGCAGCGAGAGGAATCTCGGCCAAAGTCGCAACAACAGTCGCCAGAACCGCGAGAGCTACAGCAACGACACCAGAAACGAGAGAGCGCTACCGGCGCTCCTAAAAAAAGCAACCAACGAGCGAGAATATACCCGGACGGCATTCAGGTCGAGGACGAAGGCGGTGGCGGCGGTGGCGGCGCCAGCTTGAGTTTAAATCATCCTCATGGTGGGGGCGAGGGCAGTATACCCACTATTCAACAAGAACCGGACGCTGAAGAAATTGCCCCCCAAGGTGAGAATGGTCACGGATATATTTCACCGTTCTCGGGTGCCGAACAATGCCCGATCTCGGAGTGTTGATCTCTGAGGCACCCGTGAAGCGGTTCCACAGCTGTGCAAGGGCGCCTTCCGTACTCTGAATGTTGTTCCCAGCCATCAAGTTCGGTTAGTTACGGTACAGCACCTTTTTGTTTATGTTCAGATGATTTACCTGTCCCGCGCAAAAGAAACACTACGGGAACTCGGCGGAACCAGACTTGGGGGTTACATTGATTATTCCACGGCCTCGATCACCGGCACACAGGTCAACCACATTCAACCCCTGTTCCATTAATCTATCCTTCCCTGTAGTACTCTTTGTGATACTCTTTGTCTGCATGTGCAGAAGATTTGCCTTGAAAGGGTACCCGGAGTTGGTTTTTCTTATCCCGAGCGGCACAGGAAGTATTTTTCATCAAGCGAAATCTAGTCTCTTGTGTAGGTGACAATATTTTCGAGGCTTATGAAATTTTGGGTGGTTGCGAGCCCAGGAAAAGAAAGTGATTTTTCCTCCCAAAGCCTATTTCTCGAACCGACAGATTTTGTTCCAGAGACCAACCAAAGAATCCCCCTCCCTCCCCTCCCGCCACGTTGCAGCGGAAGAGCATAACCGCGAAGGATCCGGGGACAGTCTTGCTGATGTCGCCACCTCCCGGAGAAAGCAGCAGCAGCTCAACCGGGACCCGTTGACATATTCGCTCGACAACGAACCAAGCCACCCCCAAGAGGAGACGTCCCAAGGAGGACAGACCGGCGTCGTCGTCTGTATGCATGACACCTCCACGCCGCCTCCCAGGGGGCAAGAAGGTGCCCGAGAGAATGCCCGAAGGAAACAAGAAGCGTTTCCCGCTGGTGCGCAATCGGAAGCTACGCCCACCATCCTCGAGCCCGAGAGAGCGGATGAGGCAAAGGCGAACGCGAAGGCCCGATCGGTGGCGGAGAGTCCCGTGGCGGTAAGCCCTGCCAGAAACCCCTCGGCCGCGGGCCCAACGAAGAAGACGACGGCCTCGGTTGGCCGTGGCGAAGACCGCTTCGTTTCTCAGGAACGAAAGGAGACGACGGGGGGAGCACCCGCTACCGTTGTCTTGCCCCCGGCTCCGTCCCCAGGAGACGGAGAAGAAGCAGGGGCAGGCAGCGGGGTCGATTCTCTTGAGCCAAAGATCTACAGCGAAGACGAATGCATCGGCAAGAAGCACGGGAAAAGCTACCGGAAGAGCGGCGGCAGGCGAAAGCACCACCACCGCAAGCACAGGCGCCACAATCGACACAGAGACACTAGCTACGACGAGGAGGGGGGTGACGGAAGAAGGAGAGGTCGCCGCAGCAGCAGAGACTGCCTCTTGCGAGGGCCTACCCTCTCGACTACCTCCTCCTTGGCGCCCCTCAAGCGGGTCCCCCCTGCTTCGTTATCGCCGGGGAAGAGTGCCGTTGGCGACGGCGCTGGGGCGCCGTCAGTGCCGTCTGTGGGGTTCGGCGGTGGGGGCGGTGATCTCAGCGGCGACGGCGGTGGGTAGAAGAAGGCATCATTTCATCGTTACACTCACGCTGTATAGCGATGGCAACAACCTTGGCGCCGTCTTTTTGGTCGCTTTCCCGATGGAACGTGTTACTACACGGCGTGGACAAAGAGGTTTTTCGTCCACGTGTTTGGGTGCAGGTGTTGTTGCTGCACGGTACGCATACCCTGGAGCACCTTGGATTGTGATCGCATGCGTTAAAGAGCGGAAGTCGGTGTTTAGATCTCCGACATGTTTGAGGAGATTTTCAGGAGCCAAGGGAATCTAGGCAGCGTGTCGACGGGATTGTCCAGGATGAAAACACGGAGGGTGGGAACCGAAGCATTGTTGGCTTCGCCGGGACCGGCATGTTCTTGGTACGGCAGCCGTCGCCACGTTATTGGCTGCAAACCGTGCCGACGTCGGGAATTGTTCAGTGATGCAGCAGGACGTTCTTTACCATTGAACAACCTCCCCGAAACGAGTCTGCGGCAGTAACCGAAGACAGCAGTAGAGGATTTGTCCTCACCGCCGTGGTAAAGGGTAGGGAAGAAATGTATGCCTGATGGCAGGCAACTCTTGTTCAAGGGTCGGCACGGCCGCCACGTAGTGCGAAAACCCACATGTGTCATGGTCGGCACTCAGTCCGTGGGAGCCAAAATGGTTAAGAGGGAAACATTTGGCTCTAGAATGTACACAGAATACCTTGATGCGTAAATGCCTGCTCGCACCTCCACGTCTAGGGGCGGCCTAGGTCGAATCGGCGGTATAGCCGACGATGAACACTCCCCGACGTCCTACATGTGTGCGGAGAGCTTGGATACCCCAGGGTGGTAGACTCCAATAGTTTGTACACGATATTTAGATTATTACTCATCCCCAAGCCTGACATGTGGGTGTTCTGCTTTAGGTTTAAGTGTTGTTGCCCCGCGTTGTTTTTTCAAGCCTCTCCGTTAATTTTTTGTAGAGAGCATGTTACATTGTTGCGAGAGCCAACATGACCTTTGAGAAAGGTCTACCTGATTAGAGTTTAGAGTAGTCCGGTGGGGATTGGCCTGTGTTGTTTCCTCTGTAATATTACTGCTCAGAGACGACATTGGTATTTAGCGTTATTGATATGTAAGAGAAGGGACTTGACGGGCCGAATCAAGAAGACAATGAGGTACATCCTGTTTCTCGCTCCACATCTCACTTGATTTGTCTAGACTATGATAATGACTTTTCCGAAGCCGCTGGTTGTCATGAGTTTGAGGTAAACAAAGGCCGGTTCTCCAAGCGGCGAAGATGTATGTAGCCGGGCATACACCTACCTGGCGCAATCCGCGCGCGGCCGTTTCAATCAAGCGAGAAGCCGGAGCAATATCGGCGCTGACAACGGCAGTGTTGCGGCATTATCTATGGAGCCACATAGTCTAGACTAGTCTAAACAAAAAGTCGAACATGTACGTGAGCCGGTATGCGTACTTGTATGTACATGCATTGTAGACCACTACAACGTACAAGGCCATTTTACCCTTACTACTGCAATGCATGTGGCATGCATAGGACAGGATATCACACCCCCTGGATCGACTTTCAATGCTCGACTACATACTTGATCCGTTGTCGGAAAGCTCTCGACGAGACTGTTCCAACGTCGACGTTTTGGGCTGCAGCCACTCTCTATCTCTGCTTTGGAGTAATCTAGCTTTGCAAACCCGGCCAAGGGATGTGATATTTTCTATCCCCAACGGCGATAAAGCCTGTACTACTGTACTGTGTGGTAGCTTGCATCTTTGGATCCCAGTCCGCTCCGTGTAGCTAGCGAGAGCGACGATCTTTTTTGCGATCTTCGTAGATCGCACTGGCCCTCCGCTCTCCGTGTGTGTCACAAGATCCCCCTGGCACGTATGTGGAGACAAATCCCGATTCACGGGGCCTCTTATGGCTTTGGTCGTTTGGTCGGTGCGTGTGGGACTGCGGACACAGGCGTTGAGGACAGAAAGGCCATCTTGTGCCTTGCTGTGGGGTCGTAGACACAGGCGTTGAGGACAGAAAGGCCATCTTGTGCCTTGCTGTGGGGTCGTAGAACGCGAAAAGGTGAGAGATAGGTAGAGGCGAACAGCTTGCCTTGCTTCCTGCAGGCTCTGGTTCTGGTGAGTCTCCTAAATGCTTGCCACAGAAGCAAGAAGCAAGATCCAAGTCGACTTCCGCTGCTAGCTAAGTGTTGCGGCGGTGTTTTAAGACGTTGTGCTTCCCGCGCGGGCGGCGACGGCAGCGTGGCTCTCCCACTCTCTGTCGCTGCCCGTCTTCCATCCATGGCTCGCTAGTGAAGATTTCCTGCTTGTTAGCGTTCTGTGATGTCCGCGGTCAGATCATACCGCCGCTGTCTTACTCCCCTCATTCTGACGACACAAACTCCCAGCATAGACTGACCGGAGAGCGTGTGCGGCCTGTACTTCAGCACACATCGCAGTGACGACTGCTGTTGGCGACTGCATGATGGCAAAACTGCTGGATGCTCTGTGCTTATGCTGTGCCCTCGTTCGTTCTGGCGCCTCTGCTCTTCCCTCGTGCGTGCTGGTTCGCCACCCCTTACAAGCGGCCCGACACAGCGGGGGTGCTACGGCCCACCTTGGCTACTGCGGCGTGGCACGAGAGAGAGAGAGAGAGCTACATCCCGCGACCGGGAAACAAACACTGGGGGTTGATTTGCAAAGTAGACACGCTCGAGGAGCTAGCTCGTGGTGCGGAAGGAAAACTCGCGGAGGTTAGCTGAAGGGGGGCAGTGAAGGCATAAGGCGGCGATGTCTGCGTCTATCGAACAGCGCAATCAGGATGCCACCTGCTACACTGGCAACCTCGACTCCTCCGTAACGGAAGCGCTGCTGTGGGAGGTGAGAGCCAGTCAGGGACAGCAGGTCGAAAGTTATCACACAGGCAAGGTCACCACAATGCAACCAAGATGGTTTTGTCGACTGCATCCATCTATCTCGCTCTACGCCGCAGACCGCTACACACTCCGCTGTGTCGGACACATGGTTGAATCCGGCCATGGGCGGCAGAGCACGGCAGACCATGTTTGGTTCAAATCCAGTCTGTGGGGCCCCGCTCTCCCAACGACGGCATTGCACCAACCCTGGGGGTGGTCTAGAGCGGTGGTTGATTTGTATGCGCACCGGTGTTCTTTCAGAACAGCAACAACAGTTGCTCTTCGATTTTGGAAGTGCTACAAGTACTGCTGCAGCTCGTTCTATGCTCGGTGCTGCACGAGTACCTCCGGTCTTGCTGATGAGGTAGGGGGGAAGGGGGGGGGGGGGGG